TCAAAAGTTTCAGAAGGTCCGGGATGACGGTGGGCAGGGTTTCAAAAGTTTCAATAGTTCCAAAAGTTTTGAAACTTCTAAAACTGTTGAAAGTTTCAAAACAAATGAAACCCTGCGCAGCCTTTCCCGGACCTTTTGAAACATTCAAAACCTTTAAAACTTTTAAATCTTTTGAAACTTTCAAAACTATTGAAACTTTTGAAACCCTGCCCACCCTCTTCCCGGACCTTTCATTGAAGAAAGAGAGGCGTCACATGATACATAACAGTTTCTCTTCCATATATATATATATACTAGTACGCGTTGATCCTGTGATCCTTTTGGTGTCTTCTGAGGCGGCGACTTCTCGATCTCTTGCCAGGCCTCTGAAAACTGATCCAGGAAGGTTGCCTGTAGATAAGCAGCAGGAGGCTGCAGTGGGGAGGCACTGATGAAAGCAACCCATCCGTTTGCAATCCAAGGTGCAATGTGAAGAAAAAATGTCTCAAGCGGTGGCAGATTTGCCTTCAGGCGAGAAGGCTGCCGGAGGCAAATGGCAACACTTGGGGCCAGGCCAAGGCTTTCTCGGAGACGCAGAAATACTTTTGAGTCTCCAAACAAGCGTCGAAGGCCTCAGAGTGCACAGCCATCTCACAGGGCCCCAGGCCATCGCTAGGCCCTGACTTCATCGCCAATTTCTTGCAATTTGACTTTCTCTGCCATCCACCTGAGCGCCAAAGACACAGCTGCGGATGCCGGATGGTGGAACTCATGCCAGGGACAACAGTATGGCCGCAGCAGGGCCATCAATTCACGGAGGTCGGCCTGCACAGTTCTTGCTCCAAAGCCCGCAGATGTCAGCTGATGAGGGAGGAAGGAAGAGAGAGAGAGAGAGAGAGAGAGACAGAGAGAGACAGGGACTAAGGACGGGGACAGTGGCTGCCGGCCTCGTGGCTCGGAGGCACGGCCTGGAATGCAGCCAACTGGGAAGATTGAGGAGTCTCTGCTGCAACCGTCCCTTCCGAAACAGAGCATGCGCCCGAAGTGCCTCCTGCTCCTCGTTGGGCACCAGCAGTGCATTCAACTGCAGACCGGAGAGCTTCATATATAGCAAAGTGGACTCTTGAGCCACAGTTCAGACATGGGCAGGCCTGCTTTTCTGCAGTGTCGGCATCTTTACCGAAGGCCTGCACGTCCCCAGACCAGAGCCGCTCAGAAGTCTGCAAGTCATGCGACACCCACCAAGCAGCGCACGCACATGTCCTCGAAGTTTCTGAAAATAACTGAAACCCCATGTGTTCGGTTCCCAATCAATCTGATGCTCCGGCAGCTCAGGCTAAGACTTCTTGACGACCCACTATTTGCATGCTATCTCTGGTTTCTCACAGAGACATATATCACACAGCATCTTCCAAGCTCAGCTCTTGTAGCTTTCATTGAACCGTTGACAAATATTCTGCACAACGGCAGAACTGTTCGGCACATCCACCAACATCTTCATCCTGTGCATGCTGACATGGCGGAAGGAGCACATGCCCACATGCTTTGCTGGTGATATGCTGTCAGCACTCTTGGACTCGGACCGAGTGGGCCCCAGGGTTGGGTAAGGGGGGAAGGCATAGGCGGGTTGGCACCTGCATCCTCGCACCCGGCGAAAACGAGCTTAGCGATCGCCCCTCTGTATGCAGCTCGTGCCAGGTCGCTGTCTTGAATCTCCCCCACCCTTGATCTGATTCTGCCTTTGAACTAGTAGCAGAGTCGATCCCGGCTCCCACCTGGCCTCAGGGTCCCCCGACAGTGGTCGAAATCTTCCAGATGCTGCCCACTTCCCACCCGCTCCGGAGCCCTTGAAGCTGCTGCTGCAGTGGTGGAGGGGCGGGCTTTGGATATATCTGGCCGGCGCGTATCGTCTGCGCTGCGCGCCAGAGCTAGGCAACGCAGGCGCGGGAAAATGATGGAAAAAGCTAGATTGGGCGCATTCAGCGTGCTGCACGTGGCCGAGCCGTCCGACATGGGGTTGTGTTTCGTTGCCATGTTAGGAGAACTGATGGGGTACCAGAGGTGAAAAAAAACGGAAAGCCCGTGACCGTGACCCTCATGACATGCACTCCACACAAACCGGTGATGTTCGTCCGCTAGCACTGGTCCGTCACGGTCGGTACAGCTGAGAGCATGCATACCGGAAAAACCCGAGCAGAGCGCCTTTTTTCGGATGGCTGTAGCCGTAGCGATTCGGTCCGGATAGGCCGCGGTCAGATATCGGACCGGTAATCCTCGAGATCGGCTACGGATCGGTATTCGGTCGGCCGGCGGACCGCGATGCGGCACGGCCGGCCGACGGGAAGGACTTTGCTGGGTATACGGCCTACGGAGCTATATACAGAAAGCCCAGTAAAGTCCACCGGAGGTCCAGAACAGGAAAGATTCCGTGACAGTAAAATCCAGCAGGATTGGTGGAGCAAGGGGACGGGGGCGGGAAAGAAAGGCTAGTATACCGTCGGCTAACGGACCGGCATACTTGAATGCAACGGCTGCGGTCGGTACACCTTGCCGTTGCGAGCTAGCGGACAAACACATTACGACTCGTCGAGAAATCGCTCATGATGCAAGTCAAGCTGCATTTCCTTTCTCCAGCCAAGCATGCGCATCATGCTGCCTTTGCTTGGCGATGCCTTTTTGAAAAACAGCCGATTGTAATCCTGGCGAAACAATATGTTCCAAAGGACAGCCTAAGCAGGCCTACACACCCGTTGCGCAGGACCTCTGCAGCGCACTGCCATGCACTGTACTTGCTTTGATGGATGTGGTACAATCGTGCCCCGCGAAGGTAATCCGATCTCGCTCAAAAAGATGGCAGGGCGAGCGTTCATCGATTTTCATCGCGTGCCCAGGCACCAACCCGCGAGAACTTTCCTGGAAATGAGAAGGGTTGGATGAAGACAGAAATCAGGCGAGTGGTAAAATGCTGCGAAGCACAAGCGTTACGCTCCCATATTCCTACGTGCGCGCATGTGTGCAGTTGTCGACAAACACGCTACTGGGGAGTGCAGTGCATGGACTTCCTGTCGAAATCCGATCCAGTTCGAAGCCTTCGGCGGAAATTCATGTGTGGCTTTTCAACGCGCGGGAACTCAAACCCCACGTGCGGCCCAGAAGCTGAAGAAGCGGAGCGGCCAGCGATCGGCGAAATTTTTGGCCAACGAAAACGCCTCCTCTCGATGTGACGTCGGCCACGCTGGCGGAAGAGACGTGCTCAAAGTGAGGGTTGCATTGCTTGACAGGATGGAGACAAACAGGGAGGAGCAAGTCTGACAGCGGCAGAAATTCAATTAAAGAATTCCGGGTAAAAGAAGAGACAAATTCGGAAAACATGGGCGACCATGCGGAACACATCAGAAGCGATTCAGCAAGAAAAAGTGCAACCCTGAAGATCTTGATCGACAGACCATAAACCGCAGCGTTACATCACCCTAGCTATGTTGGGTGGCAAACCCTGAGTGTTGGGTGGCAAACCCTCAAGCTTAAAAGGAGATGAGCGGGAGGAAGGAGGTACTCGAGACGTCAGTCCATGGAGAATGCGTGAGCTCCCCAACCCATGCGACCTGAAGGGGTTTGGGTCAGACCACGCACAATGTCTCCAACATTTGTGCCACCGTCCGGTAGTGGCACCTCAACATTGTCCAATCAGGCTGAGAGCCGTCGGGCGAACGACACCTCAAGATCAATCGAGGTCGTCGACATCGGCTTTTTCAAATCGCGTTCCGGCCTCGCAAGTGAACTGCTCCTAGGCACGGTCAAGCTCGTCTGGCTTATTCACAAGGAGTGATCTCCATCCATAAGTTGAGCTTGCGCTGGTAGAGCCAAGCTTGCGCTGGTAGTGTCGCAGGCAGTACGACCTCTCAGTACCATGGAAGGTCGAACCCTCCGGAATGATCAGTTCTTCTTTGCCGCGGAGGAAATACGACCACTGCCATTGAAGGCGCCCCAGTGAGAAAGCACTTGTAGTCGAAGCAGTGCCTTCGCCATCACCACGGTCCGCTATGTGACCAGCACCCAATCGGCACCATTCCATCAAGGCGTCTTCCAAGAAGAACATAAATCGTAGCTCTTGGCTCGCGCCAACCTAACTGTCCTCCACGTGCGGAACTTGTTCTGTCGCTTCCATCGGCACTATGTTGCGGCAAACGAACACGGTGTGTTGAAGAGTAATCATGTTTGAAGGACGAAAAACCGGGCAAAGGTTTAATCAGGGTAAACGAGGAAGTGAAGGAAGTGATTGGAAGTGCTCCTGGCTGTGCGCGTGAACCACAAAACAACCAAATTTTGGCTGGGAGGCATCTGGCCGTGCGTATGATAAATTCCTAGCATCTGCACCAACTGTTGTCGATTAACGGAAGGACTGGCCGAAGCCCAACCTACAGGACAGGGAAAGGTCGGCACGAAGCCTCGATGGATGACTTCAGTGCCGAAGCTTTCTCTTTGGAAGCCTGCGGTGGAAGCAGGGGTTGAAAGGTGGCGACCCTCTATGATCCCTGAATGTTTCAAGTGTGCCTCATGCACGCTGGACAGGGACTGCTTTAATGCCTCCAAGGTGTATCTGAGTGTATCTTTCTTGCGACATCTTGGCGTTGCAATTCTGAAACAATGCCTGGAAGAAGTCTGGATCGTTTGCCCCGAGGGAGAGGCAAAGGAAATGCAGGGAAGAAACCTGAAGCAGCAAGCGATGCAAAGAGCGTGGCGACTGCAAGCTTGCGCAAGAAGTGCCACGATCAACTTCACTCCAAGGCCCCGGCAGCTCCCGTCTTGAAGGAAGCTAATGTCAAAAGAGAGTCTACGCTCACGCCGCGGATGGTGCCTTCGACGACCTGCCACATTATGACATCTCGTTCTACTACGCCCGTGTCACGGCACCCAACCAATGACTCGGAACTGGCTGAGACCAGCGTGCGTAAGCGTCGCCGTTTGTTACAGTCACACCTGAGTGCTGGTAAAGAGACGAGAGCCTCATCCACACCGTGGTTGATAAAATTGCCAACCTTCGGAGGTGCATAGCATTTTCCGGCTCCATCTGCAAAAGACAGCAAGATGCTGAGCCAAGGACACGTACAACTAAATCGAGCATTTCTTTGAACTTCTGGCTGGAACGCACCTGCCGGCGCCGTCCGAGCCCATAGAGCGACAGCTTTGCAGTGAATTGCAACCCATAAAAAAAGCCAGGGTTCAGCCTGCTCGGCAGCAGACATGAGTGCCTGCCACAGCGTGCGCAACCGCCCGTCCCCTCTCAGTTTGCCCAGACATCGCTTTAAAGCAGAGAAACAATCCGCGTCACAGACCGATGGCATGTCGTGCAGACACCAGTTACTGGTTGCTGCATGACCCTCTCTTTGTGATTCAAGTTCTTGAGGCTTTTGACCGCAGTGTCTCTCTCACAGAACATGCTTGCTCGGCCTCACATCTTTTCTCGATGGCACTAAACTGCGCAATGTGGGACAACGCGAACCTTGGCCCAAACGAAGCACAGGTGTTTGCCACCGTGCTTGTGCTCAATTGCCTACTCTGGAAACACACCGACAACAGGATCTACAATGATTGCACCAGGCTATGCTCGCACGAGTAGTAACGACATAAGAAGCCATACTGCATGTCCGGTTTTCACCCTTCAGAAACACGAGCTTGAGTGCATTATGGAGACGCGCAAAACTGCACATGCGGCTTATCGTAGGAGCACAGACACTGCAAGAAACGGATTGCTGTCAGGCGACTTTGCTACCTTCATGCGCGCCACTCCTTTCGGAAGGGTGCAGAAAGGCATGATGTTCATCTCCACCTGCGCATGTTGCCACACAAGCCTCCTTGTGCCTGCATCAACAGATCCCGGTGACAAAACGGTTCATGACTGTCAGTCTGCAGCACGCTGTCGCACAGCACATCCGTGACCGATTTTTTCGTCTTCGGTGCGCCCTTACAACTCCAGCTGTCGTGACCACGTGTGTGCCAGCCTCTCCTCCTGCGATCGGGGCCAGACGTGTCTCATCTCTCAACTTGGTATAGGCGCATCTTGTGAACCATGTCGGCTTGCCTGATCTTCACCATGCGAGTCATCTCCAGCGATAAGATACCTCAGGATATAAACAGCAACACTGTGTTACATGTTCTGCTGCCCCTGTTCGCCTGCGACAGGCATGGCTTGATCTCTGAGCACCGGGCTCTGACTGTCCGCCCGGTACTATCTGGCGAACCACGGGTTCCCAGGCGGATGCCTCCCATACCATACCAGCAACGAAGCTTGAAACATTGTTTCTGTCTCTGAAGACCCTGAACCCAAAGCAACAAACCTAACAACTACAACCACTCCGCCACCCACCCCCCCCCCCACCCACCCCCCGTAGTATTATTATTATTATCACTGTTATTATTATTATTATTATTAGTGTTATTATTATTGGTGTAATTAGTATTATTCTTATTATTCTTATTATTCTTATTATTCTTATTATTCTTATTATTATTATTACTATTATTAGTATTATTACTATTATTCTTAATAATTGTTAATAATACCATTGGTATTACTTTGCTCATACTCTTACTCTTACTATGACAATGATTGACTATGACTCATGACTATGACGGCGTCTCTGCCTATGACTATAACTATGACTACGGCTCTGATTATTACTGTTACTATTACTATTGCTATTGCTATGACTATTGTGATTACTATTTCTATTGCGATTACTATTACCGATTAGCTATATTACTTATCACCTACTACTATGCCCTATCACCCATTACCTATTGAAAACTAACTTTTATCGATTATCTCTCACATATTACCTATTACCTGCTACTTGTTACTTATTGCTTATGGCTTATTGCTTATTGCTGATTACTTGTTACTATTGCAATTACGATTATTATCATCACCACTATGACCATCACCATCACCATCATTCTTAATGGTACTATTACTATTACTGTTACTGTTACTATTCAATTCCTGTTGCTGTTACTTACTCTTACGATTACTGTTACTAGTTACTAGTACAATTACTACTACTATTCCAGTTACTAGATCTATTACTATTACTATTGCTGCTACGATTACTATCACTACTATTGCTATTACCGTTACCGTGTCGCATCGTCTTCAGGCTCTGTACGGCAAGTTGGATCATGCAGCTTCAGGATGTGTAAGCAAGAGCGCATGGCTTTCTGCCCCATCTGTTTCGGATTGTTTGCAACTTCTGGTGTTCGGACCTTGCATTTGGGATTTCACTTCAGACTTCGGACTTCAGAGATGAACCTTGAGACTTTGTGGAGCGACACCGTGGGCGGGTGGAGGCCGGGATGTTGATGCCCGGGTGGCAAGACTGCCTTGCAGCTCCCACGGCGGCATTGCTGTGGGCTGACAATGTCTTATGGAGACGAGTAGGAAGAGAGCAGGAACGATGAGCAATGCGGCTGGATTGTGCAGCAGCGCTTGGCGCACGCGAGGACAGGGAGGCAGTTGCCATTATTTCAGCTCGAAGTGCCTGCCACTTCTCCAGCAGCACTGGTACCTGAGAATGTCGCATGTCAATCGCGGGCTTGACAAGCCAGCAAGGCGCCTCCGGAATGTTGTTGTGAAATATCTCCACACAACGGACCTGATCAAGAGCACCATCCTGAATCCTCTTTGCCAATGCAGAATCGAGGCCGGGACGTTCACAGGCCGAAAGACCTCAAAGCCAAGCCAGGCCTCCCCGCTTCGAGCCTTTGCAGTGGAATAAGGGATATTCAACATTTCAACGACCCTGGATGCAGGTGTTTTGGTGGAACTGGAAGAGTCTGATGCCTGGTGCACTCACCGCATCCACAGTGAGGCGATGGGCGTTTGGGGAGGATCGTTTTTGTTCGATCGGAACAACGATCACGAAAGCAGAGGCAGAACATAGCATGGACACCTGACCTTCGGCCATGTAAGATCGTGTTGTCGACAGGCAAGATCCGAAGCCGGAAGGCAGCCTCCGGTATAGTCAAATTTGCAGGACCAGGTAAGCTACTGGGATGCCTTGCAAGCAAGCGTCCCTCAGTGAGTGTCAGGATTTGCAGTCCATCTTTCTGCTTTAAACAGTTCAACAGCAACCGGACGTGTGCACACTTCAGCCACGACAGAACACGTCGTTGGCTTGTAGAAACATGGCTTCCAGAGCGATTTGCCAGCTCGAGCCTGGTGTTTCAGCGTGACAAGACCGCAGCTTTGCTGCTGAAGCTTCGTGGGCTAGACTGACTGGGCCGTTCCTTCGTGCAAAGTTGTTGCAATCGCATCAGGCCAGTCCTCAGTGGCAGGCTCAAGTGTCGTCCTAGCCGTGGCTGCGGCATGCCAGGGGTGTGACAGTCGTGACACCGGAATCAGTGATCTGCAATCTCCTGCGACTCTCGCGACATCCCAGATGGCTGAGAACCTCGCTCCATGGCTCAGCTGCTGGGCGCCGAAGGGGCCATTGCCTGCTGTATCTCAAGTTTGCGACAGGGTCTGCAACTGAATCCAACTAGTTCCAGATGATTGATTATCTGACTCAGGCCTTCTGGCTACATCTGACCGAAGATCATAGATGCCCAATCACTGTGCCTATATGATGTTGTCCTCTTTTGTCTGCGCTAGTGAAGTTTGCAGAGTCAGCGCCAGCTCACTGCTACAGCCAAAGCCGGCTTCGTCTGCGCTTCAGCAACGGGAGTTTGGCCATGCCTTTCCTGGTCTACATGCAGCCACAGCATGCCGTCGAGAAGCTCTGCCAGCTTCCAGGCTTCGGCGGGCCCTCCCCGCAGACCTCCTTGCTGAGGCAATTGCATGAGGTCTGATCTCCCAATCCCTTTCCCTGGCAGGGTGGGGCGACCTTGATGTCGACCTTGTCGCACCAAGCTGGATGCGCAGTGGAGTTTACCGGGAGCGTGGTTTCCAGTAGCGTCGACGAACAGCATCCAAGCATCGTGCCATCCGATGCAGGGCAGCATGCACCACTGAGCTTCAAAGACTGACAAGCAGGGTGAACCGCGCAGTCGGCTTTCGGGTCAACTGTCACATTGGCAGCTGCTGCCGGTGCTGCGACAGGCGTCGCGACAGGTGCAGTTGCTGCAGCAGGGGCTGCCACGGGCGCTGGCACCACTGCAGGCGCCACCACAGGTGCCGGTACCACCACCGGAGCTGGCTTCACCGCTGCAGCACCACAGGAACAGCAGGAGTAAGAGTAGGTTTGCCAGGAGCCAGGCAGGAAGGGCCCATAGCCTCCACAGACATAAGGACCCAAGCAAGGGCCACAGCCTCCCGGTCCGCCATTGCACGCTGCAACGAAGCTTCGACTGTACGCATCCATGTTGTAGCACCAGAAAGGGATGGCAGGTTGTGCCTGCTGGTCAAGTTTACCCACTTTGCCCACTGTCAATCCTGTCTGAAGCAACTCCACATTCATCTCCACCACCTCGACATCGGTCTCACAGGCATCTGCCTCACAAGCAGACCCGGTGACCACACCGAGCAAACTCGGAACAAGAAACCAATTCATCATGTTTGTTCCGAGAGGGCTCATGACAAATGAAGTAGAGTCTGGTTGCCACTGGGGTTTCTTGGCAAGCTCGGGCCCAAAAGTACGAAAAGAACAGCGGCGTGCACAGCGACCTGCACCTGATGTAACTAGAGCAACTGGGAGCTGCAAAAAAACATCCTGAAATCTCCTGTCCTGCGGGAGCCACGCCAAGGAGACCTTCAGCCCTGACATTGCCCTACAAGTTTGCATCATGACTTGCTGTCTCAACGTTGCTCGGGTCTCGTCCCAACACCCCTTCAGCTTGAGCCTCAATGCGGATGTCATGTCACGATGGGAACAAAGTCCGAAGGTGTGCGAAACAAGCAGGCAATGCAAGCCGCCTGCATGGAAGCAGATTAAACCAGCTGTTGAGCTCTGGGCTTGCTTGGAGTACCAAAATTCCTTCTCCGTTGAGCTAGCCTTGAATCCGACTTGTTGCTCTTTAGACTCAGCTGTTCAGATTCATGCAGAGCTGCCTTCCGAGGCGAGCACCAAAAGATCGAAAGCATGGCTGGGCTTGAAATTCGCGCGGTGACCGCTCTCCAACGTCCGCAGGTGGCTCCTGGCTCTGCAGTGAAACTCATGCAAGAAACCGCAGTCAAACAAGCACAGTAGCAGCGACTCCTGACCCTCAGTGAGCAGTTCGCATCCGTGTAAAATGCGACTTCATGTACCATCCAGCCCCCAATGTCTTGATCGCACACCTCGGTGTGGGATGCTCACGTTTCAAAAGAAATCTCACTCGACTCTTGCAAACGTCTAAAAACAGATCTGCACAAGCAACCGCCTGAGCCCGTTAATCGATAAACTGATAAACCCCACAGCAGCATTCTCTGCTGGACATGCGGCAAAGGACATCCGCAAACAGAACCGCACAGTATGGCGACCGCCGTCCGTGTGTACTTGGTGTCAAGCTGGTTTGCCAGTCATCAGACTGGAGTCTTGCGCCTAACCAACATGCTGTTTGATTGGTTGTGATCTCATCCGGTTCACCTTTCTCAGGGTCAACATCGGTGAAACGTGGATGCATTCTCATCTTGGTGGACTTGAAGGACCGTGTCAGTGTATATACGTCCTCCTGTATCTCCTATGCTTGTTCCGGTCTGTGTCGCGAAGCCGCATGCGCATCGAAGTTATCGAATTGGCTGCACGATCGACAACACAAGATCAACGATAATCATTGATTTTCACCCACTCGTCCCCGCTGTCTCCGTGGCAGGGGTGCCGGAAGCTTCGACCACGTAAGTACAAAGCGAAATGACATGGCATGGCAAAACAACGCTGCAACTGTCCACCTCTACCGCAATCGCAGTTCCATTTTGGGCAGACTTCCCTCTCAATTTGCGCACAGCAAGCGCATGAACAGAACGACAATAGCTCGAGTAACAGTGTGGCGTGCAGCTGAAATTTGGCATTTTTGCTGAACACATTGCACTGGGTTGAAGACAATCCGCCACTTGGTCGAGGCACCTTGGCTGTAGCATGATGCCCAAACCCTACTTTGTCTCCGACGGTCTGATGTTGCTACATGATCTCAGCGGCTGGTGAGCGGTGGCAGCGGGAGCTGAGGCTCGTTGGACCCAAGGCAGCACCGCCTGCAGAAACGCGCAGCATCAAAGCTGTTAAGGACGGCTGTTTTTCAGGTGTTGGACTTAGCACCGCCTGAAGCTGTAAAAACGGCCATCCCAGCAGTCAGGATTTCCACCAGGCCTCGAGTCTTCCCCGTGAGTCAATGCGTGAGACAGCGACAACAGAACTCAGTGCTGCACCGTCCGGTGCAGCAGGTCTCCTTGCTGCATGCTGCCGTTGACTCAAAGAGCCCTGCTTTTTGCAAGACAGCGGCTCGGGTGAAGTGTTCGTCCCAGCATGGACTTCCTCCCAAGGCGGCAGCTACATGTCGTCTAATGCGGTGCGTGATTTCAGCCGCCGCCTTGGCTCGTCACGAACTGCGCAACCAGGGCAAGGCCACAGCATCGCCGCATGCGGAGCGAAGGATTTCATTGTGCACGCTTTACGTTCGGATTGGGTTGCATTGACGGTCTTGTAACATATCTCAGTGCTGTCCATCATACAGTCGATCATAGAGCTCACAGACATCCACTCATGTTGTAATGTGGCAATAGATGCAGCATGATGAGCTGCCAGCTGCTTGAGAAAATTCGGACACCGCTTGACCACATGCTTGCCGCTGACATTGTTCAGATCTGCAGGGCAGCGGGGGGGGGGCTCTCCCACGTCCCGCAGGTCTGCCACGCGGTCCTTGTACTCCAACCTGGCAGAGAAAGCGTAGCATGCTCAGCTGGGCTGCTCCTAGACTTTGCCCGGTATAAAGCGAGCCAGGCCAACAGCTTCTTGCTCTCTTCGGGAGTGGGCAATACGTGGATGAGCAACTGCACAGCTTGCAGATGCTTGCAGAGAATTTGCACAGGCCATAGCACACAAAAATCTGCCCAGCTGGAGACGACGGCGACACCTGGCCTCTACATCTTCGGGATTGATGAAGCTCTCGCTGAAGTGGAGGTCCTTCAAATTCTGGCAGAATTCCTGGCATCACATTGGCAGGATGTAAGTGGAGGCAGCCTGTCTGAATCCATCAGCAAAGCCCGGATGCACAACGCTCCTCGGTAGAAACCTCGGCTATCAAGCATGGCAAGATACTCAAGACATGTTGTGCACTTGCGGAGTTTAAAGGATAGCCAGGATGTTAAGAATGGCAGCCGGGGCCGGGACCTTCATCTTGCTCATCACGATTGCGAGGTTCTGTGCCCGCGAGCCATCCAAAAGGGTGATTCCTGATGACTGACATCAGCACAGCGCCAAGGCAAGGCCGCCCCAGGCATCGCAAGGACGCAAGGCCTGCTTTCTTGGTTATTGACTTTCGCCTGCCACATCAAAAACACACTCCCACGGACATTTTGCACAGATTTCCCGATTGGCCCATGGCCTGCCGACGAGAACCGGTTTCTCTGCGGCTTCGGTCGAAAGCATGGCCTCCACAAGTCAGAGTTGGAAGGTGACCGGTTCTAACTTCTGCAGGCCTTCAGCAACTCCGGGTCGAAGCGAACGTCGGAAGTGAGGCCGTGGAAGACCGATTGCTGCGAGGGCTCTTCATACTGAGCTCCAGCCCAATGCAAGCGGCGTCCAAGAGGTGTGTGGCCGACAAAGCGCGGAGGCGTCGCTGCGGCCTTGGACTTTGGAGCCGCCTTGCCCTTGCCCTTGCCATCGCCTTTGGCCGGAGGTGGGGGGGCTTTGCCCTTTCCAGGTGGGCCTTTGCCAGGTCCTTTTCCGGCCGCGCCTTTTGCAGGAGGACCCTTGCCAGGACCTTTTCCTTGGGAGACGGCGCTTTCGCTCTGCTCTGTTTTCTCCTTCTCTGTCTTCTCTGCCTCCTCAGGCTTCTCCTTCTCCTTCTCTTGCTCGGCTTCTGCCTTTGCCGCATCTGCCTGCGCCGTACTTTCGGCGCCTAGCTTCCCTGCCGGCAGAGTTTTCCCTTTGCCCTTGAGGCCTTTGGGGCCCTTGATTCCCCCCTTCCCCTTTCCTGGTGCCATCACCTTTCCCTTGTCTCCTTTGCCACTTCCCATGGAAGACTGCCTTGTCATAACGGAGGCAGGTGAGCCATCGTCTTCGTCGGCTGCCTTCTCCGTCGCATTGCTGGCATTGCTGGCCATGCTGACGTTGCTCACCGTGCTAGCATTGTTGAAATTTGCCTCGAGCGCTCGGCAAAGGTCCCTGGAAGCCTCCAGTGGCAGCTTGGCAGAAGCCTGCCGGGAGGCCTCTTCTTCGCTTGTGAGACTGGATCGTCGGGAAGATTCAAGTGATGACTCGCTGGCAATTGGCGAGGCTTCTGGAGACAGATCCGGGCTCAATTCAACGGAGGTTGGGCCGGAAGATGCCTGCTCCTGCGCCAAGAGGTTCTTGATGATCACTCCACCTCCAGATGGAACGAAAGAACAAGTGCTTGCCCTGCTGCACCATCAGTAACGGTTCGAGCCCCTCTGTTGTTGCTACTTGCAGGCTGTGGCAAGAATGACCCCAACCGTCCCCACAGCACAGCCGTGATCACTCAAGCACGGAGACTCTCGGGCCTTTACCGGCATGCCGGGAGGTGTCTGCCTCCAGCAGTGCAAAGCAGGCCGGAAGTTCTCGTCCGGTGACCGATTGCCAGACCCTCCACTGCCTCGTTGACGCGAACCGGGCTTTGCCTCAGACAGAACGGACACATGCACATGATGGTCCACATCATTTAAGACACAAAGCGTGTTTCATGTGCTTCGCACAGGAGAGCTTTGCTAACCACCCCCCTTTTGCAGGAGCAGCAAGTCTCTATGTCTGTGGTGGCAGCTGCTTTGCGAGCTCAGGTTGCTGTATATTTCACGAGGAATTTAATTGCTCGACGCGCTTGTTTTCCGCAGGCTCGATATGGCTCGATTGCTCATGACGATATCTTCAACGCGAGGCATTTCCGCTTCACTGGATGCTGGACAGAAGACATAAGAAGCGTTGCCAACGGCATTTCTGCGGTACGCATGTTGACGCTCCGTTGCGCGGAAAGTGATGCGCGACAAGACTCAGGCAAATCATCCGAAAGGACACTGAGCCCCGGGCCCCCCATTGTTGAACCAATCGTCTGTCGCATCGATGCCTCCGTTCCCAAAACTGTCAGTCGGAGACAGTCTACGAGAGGAGTTTGCACTTTCAGCACTCTAATGCTACCGAACTAGTGAACTTTGGCAGACAGACATGTCAATGTCTTTGCCTGGCGCGTCGTTCTTCACAGGCAGGAGTCTGCAAGCTGTCAGTGAATCCTCCTACACATTTAAGGACCTGGCTGTAGCTGACCAGCTCGGAGTCATCTTCATCCATTCGAACGAAATGCACGGTGCTTCCCTGCGGCTTTGTCGGCTTGCAGGAAACGGCGTGCGATGTAACACTCCGAGAAAAGAAGACGAGTTGTGCTTTGCAGCTCTGCTCTCCTCCAGTTGCCGCTTGTCAGGCCTGAAATCCAAATGAAACATGGGCAGAGCCACGGACGCTGCCTTCGACCTGGTCCAGCTCGTACACTGAGATGATGACAAATCATCTGTGAACCAGGCATCCATTGGATCGGGAAGGCCTGACGACGTGGCGACTTTCAAAGGACTTAGAAGATTGCCCAGACCATCATGTTCGGCCTGCGTACGGAGTCCTCTCCCCTTCAGAGTCGCCATCCGCAATGTTGACCACCTGCTCTGAAGTAAGTGGCACGGCCACGGCCTGGCAAGGGACGCATGCCTCTGAGACTCTCGCGCACAGTATACTGGAAATACAAGCTGCTTCCTGTCATGCAGTTTGCCATCCATGCTGCACAGCAGGGAAGGTCCGGGTTTGCCTCCCTTAAGGAAGCCACCCAGTAAGTAAATGAGGATGCTCGATGGAACACCCTCGCTACGATCTCCACTATATATCTCTATGTATATGCACAAACCGAAGGTTGAGTGGCACCTTATCAGTCAAGCGCTACACACCGGTGCTGCATCGGCTCGTATGTGCCACTTGAACCTTCAGTCGTCTCAAAGATGATTTCTCTCGGTTACCACATCGCAGGTGTCGTTTGACAACAGTGGCAGCCCAGTGAGAGAGCTATGAACAGAATCGAGGATGATCAAGCAGGTAAGCTCAGACCAATGAGGCAGAGACATGATGGCTGAAAGTGCGCTGCGACTACAATTGACTACAAGTACACGATGTTTACAGCACGAATAGGTTGCAGAGCTCACACAAATATGCATGCAGAATCTCCGTTGCGGATCGACTTCCAGAGGCTCATCGATCAACTCGGGGGCGATGGCCTTGTGCAATCCAAGCACGAATCTCGATTGATTCCTGTCCTGTTGTTCCCAGGGCCACGACGTTCGCTGTTCTGCTGCTCAGCCGAATCTTGCAGTTGGCACTCGTCTTAGGCTACGGTATACACTGGCGAACAGGTTCTCCAGTCCTGCGGCAGTCACTGAACTGGGACTGCAAAGCAACCGGAGCCGTGGCAGACTTTTGCATCAGCAGGGATGATAGCTGCCAAGGTCCTACTCCTGTCGCAAGCGACAGCACTGTCCTTGGCCATTGTCGCTGGCTCCGTAAGAATCTGACCAGAACCTGGCACCAGTCCATGCTGCAACATCCCTAGGCCATGAGAGCCTTCACAGACTTGAACATGAAGGCAAGGGACAGACAAAATTCTTCAAAGTCTACCACATCATCCCGGTTCTTGTCCTCGGCGACGCTATCACAGTCACATGCGGCTTCTGCAGCTAAGCGAGTATGTTGACAGCCGAGCTGCGGCAATGCGCCATAAATTCGCAACCTCGGAAACGCTGCAGAGAGCGAGCCCCAAGCCATTGAGGTGCCACCGCCAAGTCACCCGATTGGGCTCCAATTCTGTCTCTTTCCTGGCCCAAGGAGACTGCACAAAAACTGACAACAACGACATGGGCCAGTAGATCCGTGCAGGAGAGCAGCGGCAGCTTGAGCAGGTGCCGCAGGATGTCCTCAAACTCATCTATCTCGATCATGCCTCAGCTTCAATAGCCAATAACCCGTGGAAGATCTTTGCAGGAAGCTGTGCTTCAACCCAGCAGCCGCTGCCGTCTGCATCAAACTTGTCGAAGGCCTTTCGATAATCATCGACATCCACAACCTCATCAGGAGACAAGGGCGATCAAAGGGCAAAAGGTTGATTCTTTGCTCAAAGGCCCGCCTCGAGGCCCAGCTTCTTTGCTAGCCGCCGGGTCCGATGATCCTCCTTTGTATCAGCCCGGAGTGCCCGGGCCCAGCTAAGCACACGACGCTCCTTGTTCGGCGTCAGCTCCTCGGAGAAGCTGAAAGCAGAGTACCAGATGAAGAAGTCCCGGACGTCCTCAGCGGGCAAGGTGCTTTGACGACAGCGCCGAGAAGCCTTCCAGCGCTGGGCTCGAAGCAATTGCGTCGCTGCCGCTACGATTCACCGTTCGCGTAGCAGTCTCTACAAAGTGTGGCGAAAGGTCAGCAAGGCTGTCTACCTCAAATGGGACAACCATCCTCGAGAGCTAGAGAGCTTAAGATGCAGAAGCTGCACTTACAGAAGCACCAACTCAGAGCTGGACCCGAGTCAGCTCCTTAGTGGGAAATATCGGCGCGAAAGGCAAGGTTGAATGAGATTGCTAACAGGTTGCATTGCTCCAATGCACCTCTCTGTGCGGGCAGGTCGCACACAGCAGCTTCGTAAAGTTGCTCATTCGTAGCTTCCGCTGGAATAAATCTGCGCCTGTGTGGCAGTTCTTGGCATGGAGCTCATGTACATAGCAGAACATTACATGAAGGCATGGAATGGCCGGGATCAACCCGAACGCACTGACTCCACCAAAATGGCCTTCGCCATCAGAGTAGCGCTTGAAGATTTCAGTCGCTGACTGCACAAGATCCAGAGGCACTCGAAGCTCGTGTGCCAACCTCAGTCCCCGGTGCCGAGCTTGCTAAACGACGCCAACGGCAGCCTCACTTCTGTGACAGAACGGAAGCAGAGGAGTGCTACTCCCTCTGCTCTAGTACAGTTCCCTGCTGCTCCCGCAGAACCTACCTGGAGACAATCCTCCCGGTTTTTGCCGCGGTCGCTCCGGAGCCGAAGGCAAATGCAATTTCTGAAAGTTTGACATTTTCGTACTTTCCAAACGTTCTCCTGATATTTCGTGATGCATGGTCCAGGTCGAAAGTGCCGCCTTGATTCTTTCCTGACTCGCGGGGGAAGGTGCTGGCGTTACGCACTTTCGCGATCCATTGGCCCTCAGGATCCCTGGCGCTAGAATTGGAGCCAAACTGCAACCGTTTAGGGTCCGAAGCTTAAGCGGCCAGCTGTCATTCCGCATGTCCAGCAATGCTAGATAACGCTAGGAACACAGCAAGGGGCAGACCCCGACAACAAGTTGAACGCATTCAAGTGAGTCGCTGGTGGATTTGTGGGCCCTTGGAGATGGAGACACGAGTGGTCGGCGTGTCCACGGACGTCAGGTCCAGGCCTCTCGTAAGATGGGGCCAGAACAGTTTTCAGACATGCTCCCAGCTCCGGGCCATCGATCGGCGGCAGTGTCTCCTAAGTGAAAGAAGCTGCTGACAAAAGTCAACGGATGTCAGGTCCAACAGGTCCAACAATAACCAGGCTGCGAGGAGAGCTTTGCCTGAATACCTGGGATGCTTTGGGGGCGACTCACACTCATGTCAGTCACTCTCATGTCTGTGAACTGCCACATCTATAATCTATATCGACCCGGGCACCTCTGCCGTGGGCTGTGGTTCAGAGGGGGCATCGGCATTAACTGCGACTGCCCCCGGCGCTTCTCCTTTCGCATGTCTCCACCAGCTTGTGGAGCCATGGAACCTTCAAAGTCAAAGCCCGAAAGGGCACGGCTGCCCGAGCCACGTGGGAGAGCCCCTGCCTTTCTTCGAGCTGCTGGACGAGTGCCTGCTGATGGAATGCTCGCAACTCCAACTACAGAGCAATACACGCTGAGCACTGCATCTGAAACTGCAAATCTTGACAGCATTCCGTGGCCTCGCGTCTGGCCTAGGTATGATCGCACTGTGGCTTGTATGATTCGAACGGCCCCAAGTCCCTGGCTGATCATCGATACAATCCGAAGGCTGCTCGTGACCTGTGCTCGACTGTGCGAAGATGCGCAGAGTAGTTCAGCCCGGAAGTGAGGCTGCACGCCGCCAAGCTGCTGCTGCTTTCCAGCACCTGCTTCGGAAGGAGCGCAGACATGCCCATGGGCTGGATAGCACGAGAATCAAACGAAGATCTGCAGAAAAGCACAGCTTGAGGACGAGCAGCACTGGAAAAAATGATTGGGATCTACGCCAGTGCCTGTGAGGCTGGTATTGGTGTTGCCGGAGCACCTCTCCATGTGCTGCGATTACAGACTCTCTTGGACGATGAACAGCCGAACGTAGCAACACAAACATGAGAGTGATCGTCGGAAATCAAGAAAGTAAATTCAGGATGCATGTTTCAACAGAATGCCCACGGAAGGAAGCTGAGCTTCCCACTGAAGTCGCTTTGCGGGATGCCTAAGCTCGTGTTTTGCTCACAACATGCCGGCTTCGTCTCCACATCCTCCGGCAGGTTCATGAGGCCTCCCACCCTTTGCTACCAGCTAGTGGGACGAAAATTTGGCCTCGAAGTGGCAACGATGTACCATACTGTTGCGCCTTGCCCACTCCGGCCTATCGGCTACATGTAAGCCCCAGCTGGAAAGACATGGCCCGCATAATTAATTCGGGATATTTTTATGGGAGGTATTTGGTTTTCCGCTGTCAAGCCTAGGCACGCGATTATATTTGGCCTACTTTTTTGGGGAGGGGACTTCAGACCTGTGACTTGCATACCTAGACATGTGGCTTAGGTTTTGGGGTCCTTGCCCAGTTGGCCAGGCCTCGACGCAACAGCTAACTTCGAACGCTTTTCTGGGAGGGGACTTGAGACATGTGGCTGGGATGCTTAAACATGTGGCTGGAAAGCCTTTGTATTCATGGTCAATTTCGGGTTCTTTCCAGAAGAGGTGAGCTCGGACATGTGGAATGCCTAGATGCGTGGCTGGAAAGTCTTTGTCAATTTGTTCGGGGTCGAGAACGTACATTGGAGTTTAAGCAAATACGTCAACGGCAGTTAAATTCATGCGCTTTCGCTGGAAGCCACCATGTAATACAAAAGCTTAACAAGCACCTGCGCGCGAGCGCAAGATGTCTTGAATTTTTCTACACCGCATCTCGGTCCTGACTTTTGCTCCCGTTTTGAAAACCTCTACACTGCGGAAAACAAGCTGTCATGCTCAGCGATGAACATGTAACACTCCAGGCAGAAGTAGCTCAAGGCTGGAAGAGGGCAGACTTCCGGCACGGCGGCAAGCGCTTCAAGAATTGTGCTTTACATAGTGCCGTGCTAAGCTCTCGCAAACCTCAGCCCATGGATCCATGTATTTCATCGGGTGAGTCCTTACCTGCGGCCTCATCGCCTCATGCCGTAATACGATTACGCAGGACTTGTGCGTCGGGCAGCACAATCGGGGGCCATTTGCAAACATACTGTTCGAACGGTGAGTGGGGGGGTCTCAAATAGATTCATATAATGCATGGTGGGTTTGAAACAAGACTCATATGCTTTCAAGCACGGCTTAACAGCGGGGGCCCCTCCATTTGCAAACAAAATGCTCGCATGGTTGGTTTTGAAAAACTCATATGACATGCCGTCAGGCAGGCTTGCACAAGCGGGGGGTTGGGGGGCGCAGGGCCCCCAATTAGCAACCCCACTGCTCGCATGGTGAATGGTGCAGAGGCTGTCAAGCAAGCTTGCACACGGCTCAAAACAGTGGGGGGTTTTGGGTGGCGCAGCCCCTCCCGTTTGCAAACACGATGCTGGCATGGTTGGTTTCAACAAAAAATCATATGGTGTCAAGCAAGTTCGCACAAGCGGGGGGTTGGTGGGGCGCAGCTCCCCCTGTTTGCAAACATACTGCTCGCACGGTGATGGCAGGGTCTCAAAAACCTCGTATTATGCATGGCGGGTTTCAAAAACGACCCAGAGGCTGTCAAGCAAGCGTGCACAAAGCTTCAGACAGCTGGGGCTGGGGGGGTGCAGCACCCCCCATTTGCAAACACAATGCTCCCATGGTTGATGACCATGCTGGTGATGGTGATGATCAGCACGCTTTGCCCCGCGCCACCTTAAACTCCAAACCCTATACACTCTAGGCTTCCGGGTGTAGGGTTCAAGTAGACCCTATTATCCCTGTGTCTACAAGCCCTGAACCCTATAAGCACTATGCCCTACAGCCCTAACGCTCAAAACCCGAAACAAGCACCAGCAGGAGCAGGAACCACAGGTGGCGCAACCCAGGAAATGCAGCAGGCACAGGAAGCACAGGAGGCCCAGCATCAAGCAAAAGCAGCAGGCTGAAAGGAAATGCCCAGAGGACCAAGGGACCAGAGAACCGCGGACCAAAAGACCACGGGACCAGAGGACCCCGGGACCAGAGGACCACGGGACCACAAGACCAGAGGATCCAGGAAACAGAGAACAAAAACAACATCCCAGAGAAAAACAAAAAAACCTAGAAAAAATTGACTACCGAAAGAAATCAACCAAGCTTCCGTTCTCGCCCCAGTAGACCGCGTGAAGTCCCGGTTCTGACCTGCTTGGGGACACTCTCTTGTGTTGCGCAGTTTGCACTCCGAACTAGCAGCCCTGCTAAGCCACTCGGGTGCCTGATGTGGCGCAAGTCTCCACAGAAGCGCTTGGGCATGGGCTGGCCAATGAGCACGTGAAGTAGACAGGGGATGTCAACATCACATGCAAGCCACGGCCTGGCTTTTTCGTCCGACTTTTGGTAAAGCCTCCCAGAGCATGCTAAGCATGCCAAGCAAGCGAGCAAGTGCAGAGAAAACGAGACAGTGAGACCTTTCCATCAGGGATGCTTTTGCGGGCTTGCCTGACAGATTTGCAGGGATACTGCCTGGTTTTCCAACAGCCCATGTACGATCAAGCACACGGCAAGATCAAATTGACTGGGATCGGCCTCAAATGCTTGACTGCGTGAGTTGCGCGCTCATCCACGAACCTGACGGTACAAATATCACAGAAACCCTTTCGTGGAGCTGTGAATGAACGTGAACGATTACGGCATCGCTGCCGACAACAAAGAATACGGCAGCATCATTGAGCGACACAAGGCCATAACAGCGATGGTGCTAACAAGGCTTCGGCATGCTTCGTCCAAAGTCCGACACAAAACAACAGATTGCACTGGGAATTGCACTTCGCGAAGTCGGACCAATCTCTGAAGCCGTCAGCTTGGAACCTTGCAAGATCTTCGTGTGCGTTGCAGTGAGACCGGTCTGTCTCGTCTCTGCGTCCATGACTGTACTGTACACGAGAGCTAGCATATCCCAAAACCCACCACCAAAGATTCAAACCAGGGCCCGAGAAGTCCTCTTCATCCCTGTCCCTGGAGCAGTCCCGGCTTCAGAAGCCCACGGGTCAAAACGAGACAGCTAGTGAGGTCTCCGGCCTAAAGCGACACGTGGATGCATAGTCAGTTCATGATGTACAACGGACCCCGCATGAATGACTGAATGAATGATTGACTGGCGACTGACTATCTGACTGACCGACTGACTCACTGACCCGCTGACTCGATCAATCGATCGATCACTCATACATCAATCAGTCAATCGAGCAAGGAATCAAGAAGCAATGGATCCATCAACGAACCCGCTGACCGACCAACCAACCATGGAAGACTGCCTGAACACGGTAGCGGTGGGAAGGCATGGAGGACTCTGAGGGCTTAGAGCGCCGCACCGCATAGCAGAAAAATGCGAAATCTCTTCCGCAGAATGCCATCTCTGACAAAAGCCCCTTAATACAAAGGATATAGTACGGAACTTCTCTTGCAGAAGATGCTGGATGCGACGAGGTAGTGAGTGTAGGTTAAGAAAGCCTGCCAAACTGACCAAACAAAGCAAAGCCAAACCAAGCCAAGCCAAACCTTGCTGAATCAGATTGTTTGTAACCCTTGCCTAACCGAAAACCCTCTCTTGCAGAAATCCCTGTCAATGATCATGCCTAGCATAAAACCGCTCTAACAGTAACAGAAGGTCCCGTCCAACTCAAAATTCTCTCTAGCATAGAAACCCTGTGCATGACTAGATGGTTAAAGTCAAGATGACAACCAAGCCTATGCTAAACATATAGCCGAAGCAAATTCAGCTGCCAAGCCCCTTGAAATCAGAAATCCTACGACCTTTGTCCGGCAGATTCAAACTTCCCCACGGAAAGAAAGCCCTCTGCAACACAAACCCGACCCTTACACAATACTCGCACAAAGCCCTCTTCAGCAGAAAAACCCTGCGTACGACTGGAGAGGAGAGTTTGGGTCCAGATGGCCGGAGCCAAACCATGTCAAACCGAACTTAAAGCTCGACCAGCGCTTGTCAACAGAAAGCCTCCTCTAGCGAAAAGGTCTTTAGCTGCAGAAACCCCTCCCCAGCAAAATCCGGCATAACAGACATCTGTCTAACAGAAAGACCAGTGTGACAGAAAACTTTGTAAGGCTACACATTGCATACTGTGAGCAAAGAAGCCCGTCCAAGCTGAGCCGAGCCAGATAAAGATTGTAAACCTAACGAAATCCAGGCAAACCAAACTGACCCAAGTCAAGCCTTAGATCAGAACTCTTGCAGCGTAACACCCCTTCCTAACAGAAAACCCCCTCTAAATCTGTCAGAAAAACCCTGTCTAACAGGAAACCCTCTCCAACACCTCTCTAGCGGACAACCCTGCATGACTAGATACCTTAGGGAACTCCAAACTAGGCCAGGCCAAATCGGGGGCCCACGCGAAACGTACGGGAAGCAGGGGATGTGCAACATGCACGCACAAACGCACAGGACATGCAACACCGGGGGGGGGGTGGGGGGGGCGTTCACGCACGCGGAACACAGAGACGAAGGAGACGCGAGAGATACTCCCCTTCCCGCGAAACGGCCGCGATTAAACCCCCCTCCTCAAGACCTCAAGAAATCGCGAGAACCGCTCAATACTGCCCCAGACACACTTATGATAAAGTCAGTGTCTTGAGTTTGTCGGCTCTCCTCCGACCCTACTGCTTAAAGCAAGAACAAGCTAAATTCAAGCCTAGTTCCACCAGCTTTCGTGGTAGACATATCATGGCATGATGCAGGGTGCCCGTGATGCGTTGCTTACCTATTTTTTTCGACGGAAAGGATTTTAGTCTGGCTTTTCTTGGTCGAGTCCTAGATATTACAATTCGTGGTCTGTAGAATCACTGTAGAATGTACTACGGACACGACTTCTGCCGAAGACGATAATTTCAACTCAAGCTGAAGCCTAAGTTATGCTAAGTCAACGGCTGCATGGATCCTTGTCTCTCAGAAATTGTTCCCAAAGCACCTTACAACCCATGCCAAATACACGCAAAGGCACCCGCACATGAGCGACCAGCCACGGATCCGCTCGGGTGCATCATTGTATGGCACGGACGTTGCTAGCACCATGCTATAAAGCCGGAAGGCACAAGAGTGGATGGTGTGGTGCTGGTGTTGAGTGCTTTTGTCGAAGCGCATGGTTCAAGTTTGGTTCACATGTCTGCTTGCATTGTCCTGGTCCAGGGTTCATGCACAAAGCCTGCATGTGAGTCTATGACTGTGCATGACGACTCAGGGCTCGACATGGTGCAATGTCTACCGTATTGGACATCTCTAGCCAAGTGCAAGAAAGGAGATCGAGCGAAGCTGCCACATGCACTCAAAAATTGAAGCGTGACTCTCGGGCCAGCACCTTCGATACCAACAGGGCACAGCTCTCGGAACTGCGAACCCAAAGCACCTGCTCTTGGCTGTCTGGCTCCTCGCTCTCGGGCTCCATCAGTGGCGTGGGCCACAGATCCTCCCCGTGGCCGTGGGTGTTCCGTCATGCTTGCAGTGGCATTGCTCCCTTCGCTTCTGTCGAAAATCGCTGGGACTGCGAAGGCAGGCATCTGCGGATCCTACGATAGCCCATCGGCACCTGAAGCTCAGTGTCGGCATCGCTCCGCAGTTGCTCCGCAATAGGATCTTTGAGCTCCAGCCCATGGACCTGCACCAAAGCTTTCAACCGCTGGACACAGAGATTTGGCTCGGCTTCAAGTCACCTTCACATAAGCCTGGGAATCGGCCTGCAAAGCTTTGGGACGTCGACGACGCTTCACCTCAGAGCAGCTTGAGCTTGCAATGCTTGGTGTCGACATCACTCTCATGTTGTGCATCAAAGGCTTCTGCTCGAACCTTCTCGATGAGTTCGTCACTCTTCCGCAATGCCTCGGAGCAGGGTCTTGAAGGTTCTGCTGGCATTTCTCGTAGCGGTGTGTCTTTCTTCTGAGTGAGTTCCTTGAGTCCTCCTTAGGCTTAGCCGGAGCTGAAGAAAGACGCAAAGCCATTGAGAGATGGGGACTTTCTTGTCACTTCCAGAAGGGGCATGCGGAGACGTCCGGGTGCGCAGCCAGGGCTGCTTCCATGGCAAGGGTGGCACGCGAAGCCACCGCACCCTGAAGTGCATCGCGGCCCCGGGCAGTGATGCCCTGAGTCGGGGCAGACAACGAGAGCTGCATGTTTCACCTGTTGTGATGGGAGGTGGGCTGTGTCCCACAGGAAGACCTCCTCCACACCCCAGAGAGCCTGGCAGCGTAGGCACCGGGGTCAACGAGCCACAAGAAACGCTCAAGACTTGGCTTGGGCCTCGAAGCGGACGCTGTCTGAGCCCAAGCAGGACATGGCGGCGTTGGCCAAAGCCTGCCGAGAGACCCGGGTGGCTTTATGTCGGGCCTGTGCTCTTTGCCCCAAGTGCTCTGCCTGCGCACCCTGATCACGAACTGGATTACAAGACAGATCCTGGCGAGATGCTCTGCCTTCTTCGCTCATGCTTGCCAAAGCAAGCTTTCATCTTACAACATGTCGAGCAAGACCAGCTCCACGACACACGACAGTTGTTTGCCTGGCGCTGAAACCAGATGTGCCTCTGGAAGCTGAACACTGGTGCGCATGAGCGCACAACTCGTGCACCTTCGAACTGCGAATTGAGAGCGCGCTGCTTCTTCAATCCTTCACGGCTTGGAACTTACAGTGGTGCCATACTTACCACATACGATATGGTCGGGTCTAAAAGACTTGGGTCCTAAGGAAGTATTAACCACCGAATGCACTGCCCGTCCTTCAGCAAGGTGCATCACCCCGACATCTCCAATGTCATTCCTGGCACGGGAACCGGAAAGCAAGCCCAAAGACCAAAAGGCTGAAAAGATCACTGCAGGCACGAGAATGCAGCTGCAGCGCCCGAGATTCAGCAAACATGGACTGACGCAAGACATGTCGGTGCCAATTCCCGATCTTTCCCATGGGCTTTTGGATGCGACCCGCAGGAGCACATCTATGTGACGGTGGCCCCTTCGGCCGCAAATACTCTTGCCACACACCGACACGCGGCGTGGAGGACATGCGAAGGAGGCACTCACAGACTTTCTGCAATGTCTTGTCTTCGGACGTTGCATCTGGTATCCCGGCATCCCCACTCTGCCACTCAGCTGCCGGATTTCTGAATTGTAACCTGTTCAGGCTCATGGAGAACTCTGCCAATTTCAGTGGCCTCAAGCCTTTGGGGCCCAGCTGGCTCTCCACCCGGAAGGCAAAGTTCGGACGCTAGTTCTTGAAGCTCCGGCCTGCGGCTGGAATGTACAGTCGCACTGTCTACGTTCAGACCTTCCAAATCGTGCGCGCGCACCCCCATGCCCTCGAAAGGAGCAGCGTCTGCCGCTCTGGCCGTGTCCAGGTTGCGAGGTCCCGGATCTGGGCATTCAGGCCAACAGGCTGCAGCATGCTGCAGCGCATCGGGCACTTGCTTCGCGCGGCCATCTGATCCGACAACCCTGGCTTCCCTCTTTTTCATGCTGCCAGAAAAGTCTAGAGTGGCACTGCCTAGCAGCACCTCACTGGTGCAGGGCACAGCCAACTCTCAAGTTCTTCTCCGGCTTCGACCTGCGAGTGCTTTTTCGTGTATGACTCTAGACTCTAGACCCGACATGAACGGACCACCCTAGACCTCAACGGGCAAAGAGATGCCGACATTTCGGGAATCAGAAGCCAAAGATTCATTGACATAGGCATGTGCCGACACTCTGCCTCCCTCACGTACAGTCTAAGAAGTCTGACGATGCCTCTTCTCGCGCTCCGACTCCTGCTTGCCTGCAGCGAGTCTATAGAGGGGCAGGAACCTGCTGGGTGGAGTCTGATTCACACGAGCGATTTCCATTTTTGCACCGCATGAAGTCGCAATCCACCTGCAGGAAGCCAAGACTCCCTTTAGTTGCAAGGTGGCCTTCAGCCTGCTAAGCTTGGAGTCATCGCCCCCCCTTCTCAAGGGGGCAAGCCAAAACTCCGGCGTGGCACTGGCCAGCGCGGCCAGGCCATGCGTTCAGGATGTTTTCCTGTTTCGGCCGGCACGCTGTCGCTACAAGTTCACCTGCAGGTTGGGCTCGGCTGGACCAATCGAAGTTTGAGTCGGCGGAGTTGGTGGTTTCTTTCGAAGCTGAAGATCGGAGCTGCTACCCCCATCCTGGGTTGGAACAAGTTGGACTATCAGACTTCAACTTCAACTGGATTCAACCCGCATGAAGCATGTAGGCCCAGTTCAATCGGGAATCATGGAACATCGATGTAGGGCACAGCTTGTGGAAAACAGACCCTCCAACACTCATCGGAGGATCTGTGACACATGCGCAAGATTGGGCTTGAGGCTATGCTTCCAGCCAGACCTCCATCCGGTCTAGGCTTTTGGCAGCCTCTTGGAGCAAAACTGCTGGCCAGCTAAACCTCTCCATCCCAGTTGGATAAGAGACGGCCAGCTTTCCCAGCGAGGGCCAAAAGCAGAATGCCAAGCATGATGTTTCAGCCGCACACTACAGCATTCCGTAGAAAGCACTGGAAACAGTAGTAACGTTTTAGCATTCATGCAAATCCACGTTGCGCTTGCTGGGCACTCATGCGCTGCAAATCGATTCAGGTGGTCGTCGATACTGCTACCTTGGCCCAATGACAAGTCTTCCCTACATCCGGTCCACGACTGTTGATGCATCTGCATCGCCCCTAACTGGCAATTTGCTTCATACGAGCAAAGCCATCACCGCTGGCCAAACACAGCGCAACCTTACGAAGACCCTCCTATCCACAACTCGCACCTCCCGGCCTGGCCTGCAAGGTCTTTGAGAGTGGGAGGTTTTTCGTCATCACAAGGGCGGTTTCCTCAGTTTTCCTCACACCTCCTGAAATATTGATCGGATCCCACTAACCCAATAGAACAGTTTCTGTTTGCAGGACCTGCGTACACATCAATGCAACTGTGGGATACTGTGGAAGTGAGTCGGTGCCAAGCACAGGCTAAGCAGTGCGAAGTGTATGCTGCATTTTGGCTGGGTCCTCGCCAGTGGGACGGAAAGAAACTTCTGAGCACCACGCTTGGCGGGGAAAAGCAAGCCACGGATGGCTGGCTTCGCTTGCTCCATGACCTACCAGGGCTCAAGTCCTTGTCAACTCCTACAGTCAGTCGTACGGCACGCTTGCTCTAAGCTGTGAGGCTGGTGCCAAGCCGAGTCGGGTGTCAATGGTGTTGTCCTTACAACATGGCCAGCTTCAGCTAGCGACAGACACATCGGGCAGGCGCTCCGCGATAAACAGCGACACAAGAGGACAGATGCGCTGGCCGCTAGCCGGCCAATGCCCGCCAGTCTGATCCGGCCCGTTGCTTGCTGCCAGTACCCTGGATTCTGCCATTCCACACTCAAGGGGTGCCAGCAGATTTATGTTCTCTTGATTTCGTGGGTCGTCTGCATCTGGCTGTAACCGAAGTGCCTCAAGCACCGGAACTCGTTACTCGTATAAGCAGTTGCATCCAGCGGCTCCCTCCGGCTTGCCCCATCAAATTCGGCCCCTGAGCCCCAGACTACAGAGATCTTCCCACCTGAAAAGGCTGCTCCCCTTTTCTGCTACCAGCGACCTCGCGGCCTTCACTTTCAAGGCTCAAATCCGGCCTTGGCACGAGAGCACCACTCCGCCGAGGCACGAGGGGCCATCCTGCGAGCAAGACTTCGCTGCTTTTCCCGAAAATCCGCCCAGGGGCACTGAGTGTGTCCAGTCCTTGCCGGGCACCTGAGTTCTCTGAAACAAAGCTTGAGGATCAAAGTGGGCACCGACTGAGGCAAGACACCGGAGCAGGTGGGAGGAAGCTGGTGTCGATCGTCAGCTTGCATGCCTGCCGGCCACGCAAGGTCCTGACTAATCAGAACAAGATCCACACGTGCCTTTGTGGCACCAGTCTCCTGCTTGATGATGCTGGCATACTGGTCAGAGGCTTCCTGAAAGAAGCTACTTGCACCAGTCGTATATTGTGACAATTGAGCCCGCAGTCCGCCCTATCAGACATTGTTCTAAGTCACTTCGGCCTTCAGCTCCAAACAACAGATCGATTAGTTGATAAGCGCTGGCTTGTACGTCAGGGTTTTCAGGTCGCCTACGCTTGCATGTCCTTGAGGCACTGCTGCACCACCGCTTGGTCAGCCCTGAGCCAGCAATGCCATCAAGCAGTCGGACAGCAATCGCAATCAATTGGATGTCTTCCGCGATCGGAGGCCCGAGATCCCGAGATCGGCACTGTCGGCACTTCACAACTACCTGTTTGCAGCATTTGCTATCACCTTCACTTTCTCCGGGTTTTAAATCCGGAGGCCTCGCTCTCCAGCAGCATCAGCATGCCCTGAAGAAGCAGTTGCGTGACAAACCTGAGTATTCATTAAGGCTGGCTTGGTTTAGCGAGTGATGCAGCACATCCAGTACTAAGGAACTTCTTGCCAACGTCGGCTTTTTGCAACTCCTGTGCTCGTTCACGCGCCAGATGTGTCAACTTTGGCTCGGCATTGCATGCTTAAAAACAACTAGAAACGCAAGCACAATTCACACTTCAACCTCGAGAGCAAGCAAAAGGAACTGCGTGTGCCCAACCCAGTTCTGGCTCCTTTGCGATCGCTTCCTGCGCATCTGCGGAAACCTTCCAGCATCGGACATGCTACAGGCGCCCTCAGCAACACGCGGTTGGCCTTGTGCATCACTTCCTGCCGAGCCTGGTGAATGCGAAAAGCGGGCTAAGGTGCGAACAATCCGACCATGCTTTTTCCTGAATCTGGCAGCTTATTGTGGCCTTGATCTTCTCGAGCCGCTGCTTGTTGATGGCCATGGACTTCGCGATGGCATACCTTGGAGGCGTCAATATCGGACCATATGGTACCTGATCCTCTCAACAAGCTCTGGGCAGCATGCTGGGTTTCGATTTGCTTGGATTTTTTCTCGTATGTTTGCCGCACTTTTTCCTGCAAAGTGAGAGTAGCAACGCCATAGAGAGTGCACGTGCGTGTGCGTGCATGCGTATGTGCGCATGCAACCTTGTGACCAAGGGGAACATGTTCAGCCACCGTGCAGATTTTGCAGCGGGGCAACGAGCATCTCTGGATTGCGCTGCTTTACAAAAACCGCCCAGATTTGTTGTGATGTGAAGAGGGACGCCTTCTTCGCGCACCTGCGAACGGCCGCTCAAAATACCCTCAAGCCGTTGATGGTTCGCACTGGCCGCAAAGATGAAACTGAAGATTGAAGCTCTTTAGGCCAATTGACAGATCCCGGAATCGTTGCAGATTCTGAACATAGAGCTTGGCTCTATCCAGTTATCATGACCATCGGTCGAAAGCTGCGGATGCATGCAGAGTGTGTTGCAGGTAGTCAACTACAGAGTTCATCCTTGTACTCGTTTATCGCGCTACTTGCGCTGGAGTAGCCCAAGTTCACAGTCCTAGTTGTGATTCGTTACGGCGGGGTACAGGCAGGTCCATTGTGACCGTGTTTGACTTCCGTTGCGAAGTCCCAGGCCCTCTGCTCGGTCACAGATCTTTGGTGATACAGGTCATGGATTTGCCTCGTTAAGACCAACCATGGATTTTGCACGTTTTCCTGCAGCCGAAACAGACCTTCTCGCAGTCACGGACGTTGGTCATCGAATAATTCGTGGAACCATAACTGTCCTAACTGGAGCACCCGGCACAATGCTCGCTGAAGCAATCCCCTTCAAGCTGTGCCAACCCTTTTTGTGATAGTAGCAAATCACTTTGTTCAGGACAATGATCATGCCGATACCACTGCCGTATTGGCCGCAATCTCATCGATTCATTCTAGGCAAGCCCTGGACTGTCAAAGCGGGTCTCGCAGGCAAAGATGTGTCCGATCTCAAAGTTACGGACCTCACCCGCAAAGGGTTGGACAAATACTCCCTGCGGCCTCTTCCTGCTGGATAATCTCGTCTGCATTCGAGGCGTGTCTGATTCTGTCTTTATCATGCCATCTGCCACCCAGTCCCCCCGACAAACATCGGGACAGTGCCAAGCATTTTGTCAGCTGGAAGAGTTATCCGAACAGCAGCTTATACTCTGGGCCTCAAAGAGGACCAAGAGTCGATGTCGTTTTTCGGCCGTTGCGAGGGCATGGACGGAAAGCTTTATAGAGTGGGCAGCGAATCTGAACTGGAGAACCAAAAACAGCTCCGGCATAGTCTTCGGAGGCTATCTTAGTGGTATCGAGCCCGTCGGCCGACACCGTGCCGGCTTCATCCTGCTGTACATTCTATCTCAAAACACAAACGGTGGGCCATCCATGCATCGGCCGCCAGGATTGATTTCAGCTTTAATTGTGCCGATCATGATACCAAAATCAGCCAGACAAGTATCGCCGATGGTGAAGCTTGGGGGGGGGGGGGTTGGTCCGGATGACACCACTCCCCACAGGGCTGCCAGGTCAATTCGTGCATATGTTCACTGCTGTCGCATGTGTCCATTTTGTCCTGTGCAAGAAACGAACGATTCTGTAGCTTTGCAGCTTGCCGTTCTGCAAAGCACGAAGTGCAATGCTTGCGTTTCTTCAGAGAACGATAGCGTGTTTGCAGATCGCTGTAAGCCTTTCGTATGTCAAACAGTAGCTGGTAGTGTTCGTTCGGTGGTAGTCATGGCCAAGCGCCGCGGTAAAGCTCGGCGAAAACATGAGTCCACCACACCGTCTAGTTCGTCGATGTCCGATTGTTCTGAATCTTCGTCGACCTTAAGTTCATCTTCGAGCTCGGCTGATTCCTCGGATCAGAAAGGTCCCCAACAGTCCCGTCGAGTTGCTTCTTCATGTCAGAAGGATCCCAAACATAAGACCTGCCGTGTTTCTTTCGGCCGTCATAAGGGTCCTGTACAAAGAACTCAAATGCCATCAACTTGTTCTTATTTCAGTTCATCGTCGACCTCTTCCGAGTCTCCCAAGTTTGCGGGCTGCCAAAGTCAATAACGCAAGAGACCACAAGTTCTTGCGACCATTGCTTTACCGAAGACTTCAGTTTTGCGTGTTAAACGCAAAACACGAGTGATTATCCAAGGGCCTGAGCAGGATCCCAAACATGGATCCATTTTGTACCGTACTCAGGACAAGGCCACCTACAATTTATTACAATTTCAATCAAGCCAAAGATCATCTCATTACCCAGTGGCCGAAACTGCGGCATTATTGTTGCTAGGAGACTGGTTGCCCTATTTGTTGGGAAGTTAGGCGAACAGGCAGGGCAAAGCTCACGCTTGATTTCGTGAAAGCCATACCTCCCGCTGGTAGACCCAACAAAAGGAAATTCAACCAAGTTGTAAATTGTAGAGCACACGCAGGGCGAAGCTCATTCTCAAATTTGTGCGGTCACTGCCCAATTCGGGCAAGCCTAACAACAAGAAGTTTCATCAAGTTTTGGGTCGATACTCAGCTCAGTCATGAACACAGTACTGGCGAGCCTTTGCATGCAATCGTGAGTGCATTTATACTTGTATATCGCTTGTGTCGCTTTCTCGTTTGTCTGCAGCAACGTTGGTACAAACACTTCGCCCGTGCTGCCCGACCCAAGATGTCGAAAAGGACATCGGGCATTGCTGGGCTACCCTCTGCTCCGAGCAATATTCCGTTGTACGTTGTCATCCTTGACAACTATTTGATGCGAGCGACCTGTGCGAATTCCCCAATGTCATTGACGTCGTTCTCCCTCCGACTGACACGGTGGACATAGCCAAGCGCTTCATCTCCGTCCGGATGCACGAGATCACCATGCAGCACCGACCGCCAAATACCTTTCAGTTTTGCAAGATGGGAAACATATCCTTGGATGGGAGCCCATCACCAAGTTTGCCGTAAATCGGCCAATTGAGTTGCAGGTGACTCAACATGACGTTGCAGATGAACCGAAACCAGACAACTGCGGGTTGCCCGAAAATTCGTACTTTTCTGTTTCGTGTGCTGGCACACGTGTCCATAACCGGCGTCACCACAAGTCTTTTCCAACCTTTTCGTTTACCGGGGTCTTGGGCTCCAGGTTCTCGCTCCTGTGTGTCGCTTTGCCGCAGTTTGGGAAGATGCTGGGTTTGCCCCTTGATGTCATGGAAACAGTGGGCAGCTTTCTCACCAGCATCGAGCTGCATTTCGGTGTTACCCACTCGACAACGTGTCGGATTCTAACCGAGCAATCAGGGAATGCCCAAGTGTGGCGTCCCGGGTGCGTGGAACTCTGTTGCCAAGAGTCTGCAGGGTTTCGTTTAGTTGCCTGTGTCGACAAACAGCAGGAGTGTGTGGCACTTGCATCCTACCACACT